TCACCAGAGTTCATCGTGATGGGTGGAGAAAAACGAATCTTCAAAAGCTAGAGAAGAATAACTAAAGAAGCAAGAGTAAGATCAAGAGAGAATTAGGTCACAAAAGCCCAGAAATATAATATTGCACAAAAGGAATAGCTATTGATTCTGATGTTTGTGAGAAGACAAATGCTTATTGCATTGTATTTAAGGACATGGAAGTTACTGATCACCTAACAGGAACCATTTTGGTGGCTAGAGAAAGAAAAGGGATTGAAGAGGAGGCAGTTGAAGATGAGGTTAGAGAGATTGATTAATCTGGAAATCTGACAAGACAGAGAAGAGGAGTGAATAGAAAGCAAGGAAAAAGCAATAGCAAATATTGAAATAACTTCTAATGAATTGGTCAACAGTAACAGGAAGAGTACGAGTGTACACATGAGGGTTTTTGGTAGCGTGATGATGAAGGTGGTTTTAATTAAGATAAAGCACTTAACTATGCTTCAGTGTCAATGGAAAGCACCCAGTTAAAGGATAGCAGATAAATACATCATAAGAATGTAAAATATCAACAAATAAACTGAGGTGTTTGAGAAGACGGAGTTAGTGAAATTCATAGAACAGATAATAGTACTATCCTGCAACGAGAACAAGGAACAGTATTTTGTTTTGTTTGCTTGTATCTGGAAGGAGGGAAAATAGGCTAAGTGCATATACTGAGGGAGGTGCTGTTTTCTATTATTTTCTGCAAAGTAGGAAACAAAAATATCTTCCGTTGGAGAAAGGAGGCTTCAGGGAAGGAAATTAGAGGTTTGAAATAGTTACTATTGATAAAAGGAAAATTAGTTCCCTGGGTAAATGATTTGGATTTTTGGTCATTGTAGAATATCTATTTGAAAACAGCATGAAATTATAGTGAAAAGTTTATTGTGTGGCTTTCTGTAGCAGTGCCTAGCTGCTTGGTTTTGGCATTAAAAAATAAGTTATTGGGAGGACCAGCAGATGACACAGTGGTTAAGGCACTGATCCCTACATGGCCTACCACAGTTCTAGTCCCACACCTGGAGGCTTAAATCATGCTAGGGAACCAGCAGATGGCATAATGATTATGTTGCTGGATTCCCACATAGTTAACCGTGGTTTGAGTCCTGGACCCAGTGGCTTGAATCTCAAGCCAGGTGCATGTGCATGCATGCCTGGCTTGAGTATCTAGCTGGGTACATGTGTGTGCATGCCCAAAATCCCAAGAGGATAATGGAGGAGTAGTGATTGTGGCATGGCCATGTGCCCTGGGGGGTGATTTCTCACTTTTTGTCTCTCTGTCTCTCTCTATCTAGTGCATGCATATGCTCTATAGCAAAAACCTCTCAAAAAGAAAAAAAAAATCAAACCAGGCACATGTGCATTTGTGCCCAGAATCCCAGAAGGAAAGTGGAGGAGAAGGGATTATAGAGTTGTTATCCTCCCTGGGAGGTGATTTCTCACTTTCCTTCTCACTATCTTTCTCCGGAGTATATGTATGTGTATGTGCCCTACGTTAAAAACCTTAAAAGATGAGGTTGTGGCTTAGTTGGGACAAGCCAGTGACATTGTGGTTAAGGCAGATGGGTCCTCCATGGTCAACTGTGTGGTTAGAGTCCTGGACCTGGTGAAGCCACCAGGTTCCCCAAGTGGGAAACTTGCTGGGTACATGTGTATGTGTTCCCAAGATCCCAAATGGAAGAAAAAATAATTGAAAGGGGATTACTGAATGACCATGATCAGCCCATGATCAGGGAAGGAGTGCTTTCTCACCCTCCCACCCCTCAATCTTTCTCCAGTGAGTGCATATTCCCTCTGGCAAAATTAAGTTTATTTTTTTTTGGAGAGATTTTTTCTATAGGGTGCGTGTGCTCGCCAGACAGACAGAGAGAGACAGAGAGACAGAAAGCGAGAAATCACCCCCCCCAGGGGGGATGGTCACGCCGCAATCCCTTCTCCTCCATTCTCCTCTCTGGATCTTGGGCATGCACGTACACACGCCCGGTGTGAGTTTAAGCCACCGGGTCTGGGACTCGAACCACGGGCGACTACGTGGGAGTCCAGCAACATAGCCAATATGCTAACTGCTGGTCCCTGACAAAATTAATTTTTTAAAAAAGTGCATAGTTGGCTAGGATTTGGGGTATTAGCAAGAACATTATGGAAATGATGAATTGTGGAAACTTAGCTGGATAATGAGGAAAACAAACAGAGAAAAGGACTGATGGTTGGGAGAAAGTAGAGAGAGATTCATTCATTAAAAGACTCGCTGAGGTTAGAGAACAGTTGAGGTGGAACTAATAGCATAAACTGAAAGAAGTGTCTGCAAATTCGAATTTGTGATTTTGCAAGTACAACAATCATGCATGGTGACAAGATCCAAGATGTGATTGTGAGAGCTGATGTCTGAAAATATTGGAAACAATTAATGGAGAGGTCAGTGGAAAAAATTATGAGGGGAGGTATTGGATAGGTCATCTGCATGGTCATTGAAATCATCCGAGAATATATCAGGGTTGAGACTGAAGGAGGAGGAGGAGGAAGAGGAGGAGAAGAAGAAGAAAAGGAGAAGAAGAAGAAAAGAAGAAGAAAATTGCTCTCTAGATATCAACATCTTCAAAGAACAAGGGAAGGTAACTGGGAGATTAGAGCTAGAGTCAAATTTTTCTCTGAAGGGACAGATGTTGATATGTTGGGCTTTGTGTTCATACAGTGTCTATCACAGCTACTCAATCCTGCCATTGTAGCATAAAAGTATCTATAAAAAAATGTTCCAATGAAACTTATTAACAACAACAGGCAGCAAGTCAGACTTGGCCCAGAGGCCATAGTTTTACAACCTCTATGTTAGAGGATAATATCAGTGAATTGGGGAAGAGGGATCATTTTGAGTTTCTGCAAGTTTGTTAGATGTATTGATGGCACTTGAAATGATTTTAGATGATTCATAAAAAAACCTTTAATGATAGAAAATTTCAAACATATACAAAATTATATAGAAGACTATAATGAACTCCCGCATACTGAACATAAATTTCAAAAACTGTCATCAGAAAACAGCATGAGGGCAGTATACGAATCACTTCATTTGGAAGTACTGTTACAATTAATGCCTTCAATCATGAACGACAGGTATATGTGTGTGTGTATGTATTTATGTATAATTTTTAGATATGACTTGTAGTATTTGGAAGCAGTAATGGAGAGCAAGCACAGCACTGACACCAATTCTTGAGCTTGATGAATTAAAGGTACAAAAAAAAATAAACAATCAGTATCTGAGAATTCTGTAAGAAAGATGTGCTCTCGTGGGGGGCCTGGTTTCAATCAAGGATAGGAGGAGGAAAGGGTTATCAGTAAAGAGGACAGCTGAAACTGATGAGAGATTTAACTGGAACAAAGATCTAAAGGCTAGATATAGCACATTTTAAGTGAGAAATATTTCATTAAATTATATATATATTATTATCAGCAATGAGAAAATTTATGCACAATGATTCATGAATTATACTGAGAATTAATCTTAAATAACCGAATAGTTAGAAGAAATCTATTAACTAAGGACTATGCTTGCTCTTTATGTGGGAATTGGTTAAAATAAAGTAAAAAAAAAAAACTGAAAGAATATAATGATTCAATAATTATAAATGACTGAACAAATTATGATGGGTATATATGATGGGATGACATAAAGCCCTCCCATAACATGACATAAAGCATGTGCTTCCCAGAGAGAGACAGAAAGTGAGAAATCACCCCCAGAGGTGCCACATTGCAGTCCCTTCTCCTCCATTCTCCTCTTGGGATTTTGGGCTTGCATGTGCATACACCCAACATGATTTTCAAAGCTACTGGGTCCAGGACTTTAACTGCTGTCAGTCATGTGGGAGTCCAACACCTTCACCACATTTCCTGCTGGCCCAGCAAAATGTTTTTTAAGTAAGAATATACGACATTTGTGGTAAATAGAATGATAAAGCTTGAGAAAACACATGCATGCCAACAAGATTTGTACAGATACAGAATAAAGAATATAAACATTTTAGGATATTATGATAGTAGAGTTGTTTTCATTTATAAATTTCCTTAGATATTATTAAAGTTGAATCATGAATGTATACAGATGTGAATATAACTTTCCCCAAAAAAAGAGAGACTATAAACCCAATACTTTCCTACTGTTACCTTAAAAATGAAAACAATCCATTGACAAAGTTTCCTGAGTCTCCTTATGTATTTTTCTGTAGATTCTTTTGTTGAGGGAATGTTTGTGAGCTCTAAAAGAGCCAGCAGCTAGGAAGGCAGTAAAAGGATCGGTGGTTACCGGAGGTAAGGAGGAAGGGCTGCACAGGCAGAGCATGGGGGATTTTTAGGGCAGTCACACGATATCGTATATATAGTACTGCAATGGTGGACACATGTAGTGTACAGTTGTCAAAACCCACAGACAGTACAACACTATAGTAAACTCTAACACAAACTGTGAGCTCCAGTCAATAATGATGTGTCGATTGTAACAACAATACCACTGGGCGTAGGGTGCTGTTAGTGGGAGAGGGTGCTGTTAGTGAGGGAGGCTGTGTAGGGGTAAGAGTAGACAAGGGAACTCTATTCTCTCTGTTTAGTATTTCTGGGAGCCTAAAACTACTCTAAAAATCATGAAGTCTGTTAAAATAAAAACAAAATGAAACAAGTAGAGGCTAGATGGTAAGGTTTTATATTCCATCTAATCAAGAAAATGCAACCTGAAGACAACAGAGAAGCAAACCAAATTATTACTTGGATTCTGTTGAGAGAGTTTCCTCTGTCACTTTTCAATTTTCTGTGCTTTCCAGTGGCTCAGTTTTGCCATTTATTCAATGAGGACTATGGAGGGATTTTCCCCATCATTTCATAGGTGTACCCTGAAGATAGATGAATCTTTATACTAAAAATGTTCTTATGTCTTCAATACAAACCAACAAAGATCCATGTATTTTCCACCATCTGTTCTGTCACAGTTATGCGGGATGAATGGGGAAGCGACCACACAATAGAAATAGAGATGAATCAGACTCTGGAAATACCATGCTTTCAAAATATCTCCTCAGAAATTTCGTCTGAGTTCACCTTTGCATGGTTGGTGGTAAGTGTTGCCCTTTTCAGTGAATAACTGCATTGATCTTTAAATATTAATGAAGTAAAATGAATAACAAGGAATAATAGCATAGTGGATGAGGGGCAGGTATTATGTCAGCAGCTTGGGAAGGTTTAGGGGGGCATGAAGAGAGGACTTGAGAGTCTTTCTAGCTAGGCGAGCATCCAGGTGTATGACTATAGGGCTTAATTTAGAAACTAGTTTCTAAAGGTTAATTTCTATTTCAAACTATATACCAAACCACAAGTATAGAGAGCAGAAGGTGAGGGTGCCCTGAAGACAGCCCCATGCAGCAGAAGCCCCTCAAGGAATGTTTGTTTTACACGCAACGTATCCGGAGATGCGGACCCCATTCCCAGAACCCTTACTACTGCATCCTGAAAAGTACCCAGCAAGGCTTTAGATGGGGAAACATAAGTCAGATTCTTACAGAGTTTAACTAGGAAACTGATCTGAGAGAAGCAGGACTCATGTGAAAAAACAATCACTCCTCAGTCCTATTAATGTCACAGGGGAATCAGAGGCCCAGAGTTGTCAGGTCTTCTAGCAAAAAGGAACCAAAGAACTTGGAAATCTGGGCCTTTATACGACATTTTTCAGTTTTAAGAATAAAGTGTGGTGCAAAAATAAGTACTGGGCTGTTATCTTGATGGGACAAATTACTGGAGCACCCTGAAAACAACATTTTATATTAAAATATTAAATTATGAAACATTTATATTAAATTATGAAATATGTATATTGAAATAATATATTAAAATATAATATTTTAAAATTATCACCTTAAAGATACCTGAGTATTCCCTTAGCTAGTAATGGTTGGTTAACTATAACGTTGCACATTATATCCTGCGTGTTGACCAGATTTTCTCACTATTTTCCTCTTCTTCAAATATTGTAAAATTCATGTATCCAGGCCTTCACCTATACAGATTCATACTTTAATTCGGTCTGTTCCTTAGCTTCAGTATATCATACACCTACTTCATCTGCCTCTGTTGTGTTATTGTTAGTCTGCGACATTATTCTGCCAAACTGTGACATTTTATTTTATTTTATTTTATTTTTTTTGGGGGGAGAGGTTTTTGCTATAGGGCACGTGCGCTCGCCAGACAGGCAGACACAGAGAGATAGAAAGCGAGAAATCACCTCCCAGGGGGAATGGCCACACCGCAATCCCTTCTCCTCCATTATTTTCTTGGGATCTTGGGCACGCACACGCATGCGCCTGGCGTGAGTTTAAGCCACCAGGTCCAGGACGCGAACTGCGGTCGAATACATGGGAGTCCAGCAACATAGCCATTACGCTAACTGCTGGTCCCGACATTTTTATTTTTAAGATCTAAATTGAAGTTGAAAACAAAATTAGTAGTAATTTAAAATATCTTTCAAATGGGAAGTACTAGAGTTTCACCTCATAAGAGTTAATAAAAATCAACTCGAGTAAATCATCAATGAGAGTCATATCATTTCAACTTTAATGCAAACCTACCAAATGGAAACCAACTATTAAGCAATGCATTGTAATAAACCTCTGGAACTCTTAAAACAGGTAACAAGAAACTACTAGCACCAAGATAATTACAAACTTGATTCAATAATCACATAATAAGACCCATAATATAATTAGATTAATTTTCAGATTTTCCTCAAAATGAAAACACAGGATTCAAAAATCCTCTCAAAATTCCATAAATCTACATAAATAGAGTGGCTCCTACAGTTTAGGAAGTACTGTGATTCATGCGATTGATTAAAGTTACCTAGATTTTTTTGGATCGTCTCAGAAATTAAGCTTTACATATATATAGATTTCTCTGGTGATATACAAAATTCAAAATAACTGACTTGCATGAACACTTTAAATACACCCTTTTCTTTTTTTTTCTTTTTGGAGAGGTTTTTGCTATAGGGTATGTGCGCTCACCAGAAAGACAGAGAGAGAGACATAGAGACAGGAAGCGAGAAATCACCCCCCGGGGGGATGGCCACTCCGCAATCCCTTCTCCTCCATTCTCCTCTCGGGATCTTGGGCATGCACGCACATGTGCCCGGTGTGAGTTTAAGCCACCGGGTCCAGGACTCGAACCGCAGTCGACTACGTGGGAGTCCAGCAACATAGCCATTACGCTAACTGCTGGTCCCAAATACACCCTTTTCTTTTTTCCCTCAGAGAGACTTTTGCTATAGGTCACGTGCAATACAACCTAGTTTTTAACTGTCTAGATATTTGTTGGATGATCAGTAATGGGAAAATAAAAATACATTCTGAAATGACTTTCCCAAACTGTTCTAAAATCTACAATGTTTCTGTACTATCCTTCATAAAATAGTTTTTCCTTATTTAGTCTCCAAAATGTAAGGTTTCTCAGGCATTATGCCTATCATTAGTACAAGCCAATTGTTCTTAACAAAATGATACACTGTAGGTCTTAGAAAAAGCTTAAAAAGTAGAGATGATTTCAGAAGGGCGGAAACCTGCTACAGTAAACATGGTGGTCATGGCAAAGCTCTGTTTATACCTTCTCTACATTTTCAGTGTTTTCTACCACTAAGGATGGACAGTCTCTCCTAATGATAACAAATTCATTATCCATGGGAATCAGTTTAATAAAGCTTTACTGTAGAGATTTTGCTAGCTGGTAAGTTTATCTGTAAGGTTCTTAATTTCACTCACGGGTACATAATCTGTTTTGTTCAGCAAATGGGAAGCTTTCAGCCTCTGTCTTTTATGTGAGTCAACTTCTCCAGAGCAAAAAACTGTATCGATCACTTTGAAAATCCTTAGCAACTAGAATAGTACTTAGAACACGGACACTCAGTACGTACTTGCCAAATGACTTAGTGTATTTGCTTCTGTCGGTCCCTTTTCCCCACAATCGTGTTCATTGTCCTCCTATTAAATTGAGGACCACTACCTTCATGTTGTTTGGTTAATGAGTGGCAGCTCATTAAGCATTAGATTAAGCAACAGATAAGGCATTCTTTATCGAGTAGTTTCCTTCAAAGAAACCAAGAAGTCTATAAAAGCATTATCTTTGGATCCTGTCAAGGCATTTGGGATAAATGAGAGCTAGGGAAGGGGCATCTAAGGTCACACAGTGAGAAAGTTAGTCGTAAACATTTACTAGAAGTTCAAGCCACACCATCACTCTAAAGACAGCGTCATGATACAGATCATTTGAGTGATCTTTGGAGAAGAAGGCTCTCTTCAAAGGGAATATTGTGGTGGCGAATGCACTGACTGAATTCTGACTGTACATTTCCTCTTAAAACGCTGCAATCTATTTTCTCCTCTAATTTGCATTCATGCCCCACATTGGCTGTGGGATTCAGCAAGTCTGACATGAAACGGTCTAATGTCCTCGTACTAGGGAATAAACTGCCCCTCTTCCTTTCACCACTGCCATGTCTGCAGAGAACATGAATAACCCCTTTTTCTGTGCTAGGGCTTAATCTCTTATTAAATAAACAGTAGTCATACTGATAAATCTATTATTCCTATAAACCTGGCATAATGAGGCTTTTAGAAAAAGTTTTAAAAATAGAGATGATCAAGATGAGCTCAGGGGCCAGATACCTACTCTACCAAACTCAGTAACTCCAGGAAGCTGCAAAACCCTACGCCACAAATTCTTTGTTAATTTCTGGAAATAATTTCACAAACTAAAATTATCTAGGTCATTGGAAAACAAAACTCATGTATTCTTATATAGAGAGTGCTATAAAATCAAATAATTTGGTCATGACCTTCTTGGGAAAGGTTATTGTTAGGAATCTCAGTCTTTCTCTCTCTCTCTCCAACACACACACACACACACACACACACAGAGAGAGAGAGGGAGAGACATACTCTCTGTACCTGACCCCATCCTAAGGCTGTGTTAAATGTGTTAACAGATCAGATTCTTTGTATTTCAGGATTGTGACTGAACTGAAATAGTTATTAGGTGCAAATAGTGTACCTAATATTGATCCACCATGAGAGCTAAGTGACTAAACACACAGAGTTACCATTTCTCCTGAAACTGGGCTTCCTGCGAATGTGGGTGTGCTACATAAGAATGATAGGGTATATATGTTTAGATGGGATGCAGTTGGTAGGTTAAGGACAAATGACGCTTTCCCCACAAATGTATGGCCATCAGGGAGCTTCTAAATACATTCTAATATTCTGTTTTCATTCCAAACTATCATCCTGATCTCCCACTGTGTACATTTTAATTCAGTCCAATAAACATATGTGAATCCGTTTCAAGTGCTAGGTCCTGCAGAAATATGAAACCGTATTGGATATATTTTCCACCTTGAGATACACATTTAATAACAACACAAAAATGGCAGCATAGGAGAAAGATAGTTTGATTCTGACTAAATGGACCTGGGAAGGCATCTTAGAAAAGGTTATTTCAGCTGGATAATTCAAGAACTGTTGGTTGGCAAAAGACAGATATATACTATACAAGGTCCCCTGGACACATAAAGTAGGAGCTGTTACTGCAGATGGGGAAAGATAGTGAGGGAATGTCTGTTCCCAAAATCAGACAGGAAAAAAATCATAATTATTCTCTTTAAAAAATCACAGAGAAAACAGGAATATTTCAAATTAAAATAGTGAAATATTAGTGATAGACACACATTACTAAATCCTATTTAAGCTTTTTTTTTCACTATGCTTTTATTTAATATTTGTGCTATTTTACAGTGAAACAAAAAAGTGAAGCAGAACCATAAGCAATGTTGGTTTCCTATGCTATGAGAAGCCTCACTATTCCGAAAGCAAAACTGTCACTTCTTAACTGATGACATCCAACCCCATTTGACTTTACAAATCAAAAATGAAGTGCTAGTCAAACTAGAAAGTGTTGATGACCAATAGCAGTGATTAGAAAAATGGGGTGCTCTAGCAAATAGATGTGGGGAGCTATGCAAGAGTCTGTTTCGACAGCATTGAGTGGATGGAGATTAAGCGGAGGCAGTGTGAAGAT